AAAATCTGAAGCTCTTAGGAGCTGCACCAAACATGCCCTAAAAGACTGATAGGTAAAACTGCACAGTTGGTCACAATAGCTTAATTTAGATTTTGGTTATGAATAGGGTGAGTATTTTTAAGTAAAGGTGGAGTATGAATTATATTTGGTATTCGATTTAAAATTTTTTAAGTATAATTTTTTATATTTGATACTTACTAAAATACTTAAAGATATATATTTGGTATCTAATCCAATAAATATCAGTAAGTATATATTTATGTATTTGACTTAAAGGTAAGAAGAGATTTTGTACAAGTTACCATTAATGTGTGTATTATGTGTTTTGATGTAATGTTTGTTATTTATAAGAGCTACTATTATTTTATGTGTGATTTGTTTGATTTAGAGGCCTCACTTAACTTTAATTTTTATTTTTGTATTTTTTTATTATTATTATTTTAAAATTATTATTATATTATCGATATTAAATATATATAAAATGCTACCCTATTTAATGCATAGGGTAGCATTTTATATATATATATATAGATTAACTGCTAAAAAAAAAAGAACATCTTTCACCTAATATTTTTACGGGAGGAGAAGGTTTCAAATGGAAGGAAACAGAATGTGCAAAGTTCTTTGTTCTTTTTAGAATTTATTTTATTAAAAAAATGTGTTTTTACGGTTTAAAATACAGTGTATTATAAAATTCAAACCATTAAATTAAGAGAGGGTCTTAATACCAGGAGAATACTCTTATATCTATAATTAGCCTTTTACTTGTGCAAACTACAAAATGCCCAAATTCTTATTTTATTATTAATTTTTATGGAACTTATTTTATTACTACGAGGAGAATACTCTCACATCTATAATTAGCCTTTTACTTGTGCAAACTACAAAATGCCCAAATTCTTATTTTATTATTAATTTTTTTGGAACTTATTTTATTACTACCACTTCCTCTATCACAAAATAATTATTTTTTTAATTTTAAATTTATCTCAAATTAATTGTTATTTTTTCATTTTTTAAGGTAAATAAATATTTTTTCTTTAATTTAATCCTATAATTATCTATTTATTTTGATTAATTAAAGTCTTAGGGTGTGTTTGGAATTGTGGTTGAGAGTTTTTTTTTATAACCACACAACACTTTTAAAAATATATGTATTTGGTAATTTTTTTTCAAATTGCTTTTTGTAAAGACTATAGAAAGTCACAGTAGATCTACAATAATTTTATATATAAAATCAAAAACCTTATTATGAAGCTTTTTGACTGTGTCTTTTACGGAGAATACCTAATATTTAATATAATTACAAAATTACCCATTAAAACTCAATTTCATATAATTTAATTACATTATAATTTATAATACTTTAATAATTAAAAAAAGTTTAAAACCCTAATTTATTAAAAAAATAATAAATATTATATATTTTAATAATTATATATCGTACATTAATAATTAAAAAAAG